CACTTTTCTAATATTTTTGAAGATATCGATATTAAATGTGGTTTTTCATTTGGGTAGTTTGATCGATAGTAGAAAATATGAGACTCTGATTTTATTTCCCTACCACCTGACAAATATTATCGTTCTGGTAAAAATAGTTCGAATGCTATAGTTTTATTTGTAAAACACTCGAACAAAAACATTAAACAATAAATGTTTGCTTCCTTTTTTACTTCTCTGATTTGAATGTTTCAAAGGGTCATAACCCTTCATGGGAAACTCCATGTCAAATATCAGCATACTAGTACAAATATAAAAGGTTACAATATACACACGCATGTAGTGAATTAAAACAATTATGGAAAACTTTCATATGAAAATGAGTCCATAATAGCTAGTTTATTTTTATTTTTTTTCCGACTGCAAATTGCATAACCTTGATCCTATCGAGCACTGGCACACCAAATATCGGTATTCTAGTGATGATACTGAAGTTGTTGAATCACTTGAGATTTTGATGACAATGTTTAAGCTCAAAACAGGTCATGAGTTAGGAAAATGAATTGTACTGCACGCAAGTTGGATCCCTAGGGATCGGATCCTCCATGCCAAATATCAGTATCTCAGTTAAAATATTGAAGGTTATCAACGAGTTTCGACTCTTGTATCACAACTTCAACAATCACCACGGCTGGTCGACTACACCACCACACCGCTGCAACCTGTATTCTGTTGAAGACGTAGACTTATAGTCCACCAACACATGCCAATATTTATAAGCCTCAATGAAAAGCTTTGGTGCGAGTAGGGATTCGAAAATGCTGGAAAAATAATTAGCTCCTGCCGAAGCGGCCTTCATTAAAAATACAGCGGTTTTACATATGACATATGTATGTAACTAATTGAAGTGAGTACAACCCTATTACAAAGATGTATATCTAAGGCCATCGTTAAAGAAATGTTTGTTGCAGATTCCCGATCGACTCACTAAAAACGGCACCCACTCGAATTTTTTTGGTACTTTTGAAAAAATCTTTTGTTTTCTTGATGAAAAATCAATGACACAATCTTTATACAGAAATAAGAGATTTAAAAAAAAAGATTACCCAAATTAACAAATTATTGGTAGGGAAATTGCTAACAAATGACCTAAGTTTCTGTTCCTGTCAGAGTGAAAAGAATGAATTTTCAGTATATTTTCAAAACATGTTGGTCGGTTATGCGACATATATGAAATAACATTGTGATTAAACTGAACCCTCCGATACACCGTTGTATGGGAGTTTATAGGAACACGAAGGAACAGTAGTCTCCACAACTAGCCCAGTGTATGTCATTATCGCTGTGAGAATCCAGTTTCATCAATATTCTCTACAGGAGCCTCTCCTAAACACGGCCTGTTGTTGTGCACGTGACCATTGTTGTAGATGTACACTCTCGCCAATGTGCTGTCCCCCAGAGAGTCCCCAACACATACCTGTTTGCTTACTTTCAGTGGAGGTAGGAATTCTCATGCTTTTGATTGGTGTCTCAGGATTCTTCCGTTTTTTGGTCACCAGTGAAGATTTCTGTCGGGTGTTGCCCTCAAAACAGAAGAACCCTTAATATCCCGATTTGAACTGTTGACGATCCCTAAATGATCCGATCTTCTTTAGGATGGTTGGTCCCTCATCATAGCCAGGAACAAACTGATCCCGTAGAATGATGTCGTTGATGTGTTTGGGACCGGGTCATTGATTTTATAGTCCGTACAGCCAGTCGCAGACAACATCCCTAGTCTGGACCGATTCACAAGCCTCCACACTCATTGGACTGACCCGATTCCGTTAGCTGTCCGGCCAGATGGACAGTAAGAGCCATTTTGCTTTCAATTAATTATGAATAAATTAGAAGTAAATGAAATCTTGGATTTTAATGCAGTGTATGGAAGTGTGAGTGTTTATTAAATATTTGTATTATTTCTTTAGCATCACATGATGGGCAAACAACATGTTAAGATCTCGGTAGTCGTTGTTCCCAACCGATTTCTGTGGTGATTGAGGTCATGAGGTCAATGAGTGCCATTCTACAGGAGGTTGTCGTTTTCCTCATTATAATACCAGAGGTAGATTGTCTTCATAACATAATGTAGAGAAGTAGGTATGCATGTCTTCAGATTCCCTTTGGGTGGGAGAGGTAACCTTGATGGGACTCAAGTATTATGTAGTAGACTATTGACGGTTCCTACTATTGACGGTTCCTACTATTGACATCTTCCGGTCAATTCTAGGGTTTTCTTATTATATCAGTCAATACTTAGGTATATCCGTCAACTTCCGCCATCTTTTCCTAATCTCTATCCGGTCAAAGTAGGTACCCGAAAAGTTAATCCTCTTATAGGCAAAAACTAGGAAGTCAGAAGTAGGAACCCCCATTTTTATTTGTGTAGGAAGTCAGAAGTAGGAACCGTCAATAGTAGGAACCGTCAAAAGTAGGGGTTTTACGCATCTCCCCTTCTGTTTCAAAATTAGATCAGACGAATTTTCCAACGGTTAACCCCTAGCACCACCGATCAGTACTATAGAAAGACGAACAGCTGTTTGAGTCAGTGCAAATCATCTTTGGCATGCTGTGCCTATTACCGAATTTTGAAGGTACAATCACCTGTGTGTATTACGTCGATCTTGTTTGCTGTAACCTTGATGGCCACAGTTATCTCTCTCGAGGAGTGGAACCGTTCATAACATACACACTTTACTGTATCTGTTACAAACAATTAAAGTTAAATTACAAATATCGCGTCAAACATTGCGGTGTACGACGTCACCACTTTCTGTGTTGTCTGTCTATTAGGTGATCTTATATAACCTGAAAAAAATCTACTATTGGGGGAATGGCAAAAATTTAACTATTTTGGAGTCACTCAGAAAAAATTGCAAAGGGAAATAAAAATGTACAAAATACAACTGTACCTACCAATCTCAACTTATGTACATAGACACATAGACATAAAAAGTATTGTTATACAATCATATAAAATATAACAATATACTTATAACACGATATATTGTCATACATCAAATTAACACACAGGAGAGACTCACTGGATCAGACACGATTCATACCTACAACACAAATATTATATTATCTGTTAAAATTCTTATTAAAAACAATAAAATTCGCACATTTTTCAACATCCCGAAATATAAAAGTCGGGAGCCGTACATAATTATCTGCTAAAATATATGTATAAATTGATTCATATGTTAATTTGTCTAGATTTACGAGCAGCAAACCTATTACAGGAACATTCACCTTCCAGTAAAACCTTCCTGTTTGTCCATAAAATATAAAATTTCTCTCAATGAACTTTATCGTCTGCTGCATTCATCATTGTGCTATTTGTATAGGCCATCATTACGACAATCTCCCGAATGCATCACCAGTCATACCTGTTACTTCATATTGGGAACACTTAAGGATTTTCACAAATGCAATCCTATGTTAGTTAAGGATGCCATTGCACTGTTTTGTATATACAGTTATCTGCCCTCCATTTAGTTTGGACTATAACTGTAACACACTTGGGCCAGTGTACTTCCGTTTATATATAGCTGTAACACACTTGGGCCAGTGTACTTCCGTTTAGATATAGCTGTAATACACTTGGGCCAGTGTACTTCCGTTTAGATATAGCTGTAACACACTTGGGCCAGTGTACTTCCGTTTAGATATATCTGTAACACACTTGGACCAGTGTGTTTCCGTTTAGATATATCTGTAACACACTTGGACCAGTGTACTTCCGTTTAGATATCTCTGTAATACACTTGGGCCAGTGTGCTTCCGTTTAGATATAGCTGTAACACATTTGGGACAGTGTACTTCCGTTTAGATATATCTGTAACACACTTGGACCAGTGTACTTCCGTTTAGATATATCTGTAATACACTTGGGCCAGTGTGCTTCCGTTTAGATATAGCTGTAACACATTTGGGCCAGTGTACTTCCGTTTAGATATATCTGTAACACACTTGGACCAGTGTGTTTCCGTTTAGATATATCTGTAACACACTTGGGCCAGTGTTCTTCCGTTTAGATATAACTTTAGCACATTTGGGCCAGTGTACTTCCGATGATCAGGTAGTTCAGTCGGTTTACAATATGAAATCACAAGGTTCGAATCACGGTCTAGCCCCGCTTATGTTTTTACACTTAGAACACTGATGTTGATTATATTTATTTATTTAATTTTCATGATTGTTTCACGAAAGTCCCATAAAGTATGTTTTCTTTTCAAAATTGATGTATGGAAGCTATAATCATACAGGAAGTTTATATACAAGTTTATATTACGTAGTTACATTTATTTCACTGGTACGGGTATCCTTAACTTTCTCTGTGAAGTCTAGAATCAATGCTATCGATTTTATTTCATCCTCATATTTCAGTCATATTTAATACCGGGCGACATGAATATTTATCTGTCACCCAAATTGCATTCATATCGACTGTATACTGCATCTGGTAACAGTTCAATGCTTATATTTCATTTATATGTATATAGTTTGTTTTGTATAGTAACTGAAGCAAAAATACGTTTGAATTTCCTGCTTATCATATCAGTGACGTCAGTAAGTTCAAATCCTAGAACAGCCGACATTTCCAGAAGAAATAATATAGTCCCTCGTGTCATTGAAAACCACACGCACATAAAATGGTTTGAACACAAACTTAACTTTATTATTTATTTCATATGAGTACGTATATGTTGAAAAATTGTTAATAATTGCATAACTTCTGCTTGTTTAAAATTAAAGCTGTTTTTCGCCCATTGATAGATTACATACATGTATTTTCAAGTGATGCGGCGCTGAACGGACTTGATTGTTTACTCGGAAACGCGTATGTTTCCTTCGACTGGAATATTACGTTATTTTCAGAAGCATATACACTCGGAAATGTTTAATAAAAGTGGTCCTTTCAGTAGGTGATAACGATTCCAAGGACATTTCGTTTGAAATAGATTCCATGTCTAATCGGTCATATTAGCATCGCTAGCAGACGACGTTCACAGGGGCTCGGTTTTGTGATTGACATCACTGAAAAACCACAACACTTTAAAAGGTATTTATACACATTCTAAAACCTTGTCGATACCCTCGACTTTTACAAGGTTTTAGAAAAGCTGAATTTTAGTGTTGTGGTTATTCACTGATGTTATGCATAACTCAAAATCTCGAAACCGATCCCCTGTGTGATGACGTTCACAAACTTATAAATTTCGTATCTAGAATGGCGCTTACAATAATTTTGTGGTACCTACACATCTTATAATAAATGTATATTTTCAAGCTGCTTATTTTTTTTGCTATGACCTATATTGCTAAATGCTAACGAACCCAGAATGTTTTCCGACTATAGGCCTATTGATACCGAAAGTATCGGGCGGCCATGTTTGTTTACCTTGTACCAGCTGTATTCCTACACTGGCCGTATCACTGTAAATTATAGTATACAGTCTCATATACTGCAATTTGGTTTACTAACGACATATAGGCAAATGCAACACAGAATGTAAATATATGGTTTATAAACCTGTGATGTTCGGTCATATTAAATATGACAATATAAGGTGGTTGGTTAGGGTTGATACATGATATGCATGTATGATGTCTCATGTATTTTACATAAGATTGATAATCAATATACGAGTATGTTAGATTCCATCGCGTCTAGCACACCAAATAATGTTTCACGTTTCTCATTATCAACCGAAATTGAATAAAACAATTTCGTATTTGATTTGAGTCCAAAAGTTTTGAAATGACAACAACTGCCTATTAGAGCATTCACGTTTGCGCAATGTGTTACAATGTATATATGGAATTTTAATTACTGTATTCAAAAGTTACGCTCAAGTGAGTCCTTTACAAAAATATCTGTTCCACAGGTTAGCAACACGTGCGGTAAAACCATCCAATAAAGATGTTATTTCCCTTTGACAAGGAATGGTACGGCAGACATTATCAACATGCATAGTAAAACAGGCGTCACGATTGTATGATCGGCAAAAGCTATCAGACGGGAGCGAGAAGATATGCATCAGTGATTCAGTTGCTTACCTTACTTGATGAACGTGTTAATGCATGTGTTACGGTGATTTCCCGTTGAATATTTGCCAGACCTGTTCTGACATATGGTGTTAGGGTACTTATGAGTAACGGAAAACACTGGCCGTACTGACCAACAGAACTGAAGTGGACCGATGATATAGTTGACTGCATATAAAGTAAATGACCATATTAGAACACATACCATAGTTAAAAAGGTATCGATATATCACAGTTGGATTTGCTATCTTGTATAAGTTCAAATTCTTCTGTGTGATTATGGAAGGGAGAAACGATATATACAGCGGGAACGAGATTGCGGACGACGTGGATTTGATGGAGCGCTGTCCACTTACAATGACAGATACCAGGCTCAGCCTTCCTCCCACGTATACAGACGTGGTTGGGAGCGGGACGTCGGCTATGGTCGACCTCCGGGATCATCATTCTGACGTAAGTAGTGCGTCTACTGAGGAAGCCAGTCTGCCGACCAAAAGTAGCGACTTGTCAACCACACCCCTGGAATACAGGATCAGTGATAATCCACCGATTCACCTTACTATTGTCTTCGCCTTCCAGGTAAGTACGCCCGTCTCTCAATCTCTTCCATATCAAGACTTCCGTCTCTCAGTCTCTTTGCCGGCCGTATTTCTGTCCCTCCATCTCTTCCGTATGAGTTCATCCGTCTCTCAGTCTCTTTGTCGGCCGTATTTCTGTCCCTCCATCTCTTCCGTGTGAGGTCATCCGTCCGTCAGTTTCTTTGTCGACCGTATTTCTGTCCCTCCATCTCTTCCGTGTGAGGGCATCCGTCTCTCAGTCTCTTTGTCGGCCGCATTTCTGTCCCTCCATCTCTTCCGTGTGAGGTCATCCGTCTCTCAGTTTCTTTGTCGGCCGTATTTCTGTCCCTCCATCTCTTCCGTGTGAGTTCATCCCGTCTCTTAGTCTCCTCCACGTCACTATCACCATTTCCCAATTTATTTATGTCACTCAACACTTCTAGGGCTGCACTTCAACTCATTCTCTTCTATGTCAGCGCTTACGTCTTTCAATCTCGTCCAGGTCTCATTCTCTTCTATGTCAGCGCTTACGTCTTTCAATCTCGTCCAGGTCTCATTCTCTTCTATATCAGCGCTTACGTCTGCATCTTTCAAATTTCAGTTCAGTACTTTGGTCTCTCGACCTATTCCTTCCTATGTCAACAATGACAACAACCGATGTAATCACAAAATTATATTCCCTATATTAAAAGTATTCGGATAATGCCAAAGTTCAGATCACGGGAAAATTCTAAATTTCCTGTCATATTCTTTAGTCTTTTAAAATGGTTTAATTGCTTTCAGGGTCACTTTCAAGTACTTGAACAAATATCGGCCATATTTGATTTTCTGACATTTGTCTATTTCTTGTGTTGATACGTCAGAACAATGACTTAGCTCGTTACGTATGACCTGTCTACTGAAACCTTCGATAACACGTATATGATTGAGCCATTATTTTTATTGGCACAAAAGAAATAACGTCTTTAAAGCCTGAGCACACGCGGAAGATAATGCAAAAAAAATCAAATAGAAATAAATTATAATTGTTTCAAATACCGCAACGTCAACACCTTTGCTTTTTTGAGAAATCCTATGGTGCCAGTCACTTTGTGGTTATTTTTATGTTACATCAAAAAAAAAAGGAAGAAAAAAAAGAATTGGATGAGTGTCTATAAGGCCTTTTTTTAGGCCTCGGTGTATTCTGATTTTTGATCAATACATCAAAAAGGGCCTTATAGACACTCATCCTTTAGAAATTTGAGAATTGTCTGGAATCTATTTTGAAAATTTTGAAACTTGAATATTGTTTAGCATCTAATGTATAAAATGAGTTGAATCGAGAAATTAAATTGATATTGAAAATGAAGTTTGAATATTATATAGAACTAGCAATGCTTTGAATTATCTATGGCGCAAAAATAAAAAGTGGCGTAAGCTATGACTTAAACTCAACAGATTGCAAAACAAGTGGACAAAATATACCATAGCTTCAACAACCGCAAAGAAACACGGAGAACTTTACCACAACATAATACACCACGGCGTCAACACACTTACGAAACACAAGGGCAAAATGTACGCCAGCGTCAGTGCCCTAGCAAAACACAAGGGTAGAATGTACGTCAGCGTCAGTGCCCTAGCGAAACACAAGGGCAAAATAAACCATTGCGACAAATCTTAACACTTTAAGATGAAAAACGCAGCATAAACACTCTAGCAACCAAGGAGAAAATAAACATCACCTGGACAACACATAAAGAAAAACACCATGCCTAGACATCAACACCTGGACAACACATCAAGAAAAACAACATGCCTAGATATCAACACCTGGACAACACAGCAAGAAAAACAACATGCCTAGACATCAACACCTGGACAACACAACAAGAAAAACAACATGCCTAGACATCAACACCTGGACAACACATCAAGAAAAAAACCATGCCTAGACATCAACACCTGGACAACAAGAACAAAACCATGCCTAGACATCAACACCTGGACAACACAACAAGAAAACCCCTTGCCTAGACATCAACACCTGGACAACACATCTTGAAAAAACCCATGCATAGACATCAACACCTGGTCAACACAACAAGAACAAAAACATGTCTAGACATCAACACCTGGACAACACAACAAGAAAAACAACATGCCTAGACATCAACACCTGGACAACACAACAAGAAAAACAACATGCCTAGACATCAACACCTGGACAACACAACAAGAAAAACAACATGCCTAGACATCAACACCTGGACAACACAACAAGAAAAACAACATGCCTAGACATCAACACCTGGACAACACAACAAGAAAAACAACATGCCTAGACATCAACACCTGGACAACACAACAAGAAAAACAACATGCCTAGACATCAACACCTGGACAACACAACAAGAAAAACAACATGCCTAGACATCAACACCTGGACAACACAACAAGAAAAACAACATGCCTAGACATCAACACCTGGACAACACAACAAGAAAAACAACATGCCTAGACATCAACACCTGGACAACACAACAAGAAAAACAACATGCCTAGACATCAACACCTGGACAACACAACAAGAAAAACAACATGCCTAGACATCAACACCTGGACAACACAACAAGAAAAACAACATGCCTAGACATCAACACCTGGACAACACAACAAGAAAAACAACATGCCTAGACATCAACACCTGGACAACACAACAAGAAAAACAACATGCCTAGACATCAACACCTGGACAACACAACAAGAAAAACAACATGCCTAGACATCAACACCTGGACAACACAACAAGAAAAACAACATGCCTAGACATCAACACCTGGACAACACAACAAGAAAAAAAACATGCCTAGACATCAACACCTGGACAACACAACAAGAACAAAAACATGCCTAGACATCAACACCTGGACAACACAACAAGAAAAACAACATGCCTAGACATCAACACCTGGACAACACAACAAGAAAAACAACATGCCTAGACATCAACACCTGGACAACACAACAAGAAAAACAACATGCCTAGACATCAACACCTGGACAACACAACAAGAAAAACAACATGCCTAGACATCAACACCTGGACAACACAACAAGAAAAAAAACATGCCTAGACATCAACACCTGGACAACACAACAAGAACAAAAACATGCCTAGACATCAACACCTGGACAACACAACAAGAAAAACAACATGCCTAGACATCAACACCTGGACAACACAACAAGAAAAACAACATGCCTAAACATCAACACCTGGACAACACAACAAGAAAAACAACATGCCTAGACATCAACACCTGGACAACACAACAAGAAAAGCAACATGCCTAGACATAAACAACCAACAACCTAAAGACAAAAATAAAACACAGCGTCAACACACTAAACACACTATAACAAAATATCCTTCTGTGTCATTACTCTTGAAACACAACACCTGAACAACACCGGAAGTCGACACTATAACCCAACCAAGGGAACTGAAGGGTAAGATGTTATCTCATTACAGTTGGCATCCATAACGTCTCCAATGAAATGAAGGAGTAGATTGACACAATTCAGTTTGAATACCATGGGCCGTACTTATTCATGCATGCTATGGTTTATTCGTGCATGTTTATTGATGGCTGCTCTATTGACAGTGTAATATTATTTATACTTCCAGCAAGCACTCCTGGCGTTCGCCACTCAGTTGGTCATTTCTCTACTCGTGGCTCAAGTTGTGAATGGTGAACATGACCCTGAATTTCGCGGCATTCTCCTCGGCTCAACAATGTTCATGTGCGGCTTAACAACCTTTCTTATGTCCTTATTTGGTGTCAGGTAAAATGCTTGAACTATTTTGTTAAATCTGGAGAACAGACATTCAAAGATATGTCCGTAGCGACATGTATCCTGAAACTTTGTATATATTAGCAGTTAATCAAAACAAACTTTGTATATATTAGCAGTTAATCAAAACAAACTTTGTATATATTAGCAGTTAATAAAAAAAACCCTTTGTATATATTAGCAGTTAATCAAAACAAGCTTTATATATATTAGCAGTTAATCAAAACAAACTTTGTATATATTAGCAGTTAATCAAAACAAACTTTGTATATATTAGCAGTTAATCAAAACAAACACTAGTAACAAAGTATTGCATGGTCAATGAAAAGGAATAAAATCGAAGGTTAAAGTAAATACGAAATGACGGCCAGAGAAACCGAAACGATATCTCCAGTAAAATCGAGCGAATTTTATCTGTTGTCACCAATGATTAAACACATATCAGTGTGCAACCTTAGCGAAGAATGACATAGGAACACTTTTGGATGATGAATCTGCTAATCAGAAGTTTCAGTCGGACCAAAGATTAAAAGAACGTGACTCAGTAAAAAGAATTTCAAGATTAATTCCTTTAACAACAACCCTCTATCTATTTGGCAATAACGCCACACATTAAATGCACATTTGTCGTTCTTAATAACGGGTATATAATGCCTTCATCTTAAATACACCTAGGTTGATTATGCATCAATTGTAAATATATTAATTTGTCGTTTACTTTATGACAGTTCAGCTAAAATACAGATGATAAAGCAACTCTAAGCTTTATTTGGATGTAGTGTTTTATATGCATGTCATATTTAGATAAAATGTTTTTAAAAAGTAAAATACTGAATCATATCTAGCTCCAGAAATATCCAACAACGTGGAGGACCCAGTAGTTATAAAACATTTTTGTGTTGACGTATTTTTCTTTCTGCAAAAAACCCCCAAACTTTGTTGTACCGTTTAATATTAAGATACTAAAAGTTTAACAGTGTTTATGCAGCTCCAGACGTGAGTAGATCAGAGAAGGTTTCGTTGAGCGTTTTGCTCATCCATGCATTATTCACGTAGACGAATGTTTAAACTTAAGCATTACAAGTGGGGTCCTGTCATTAGGTATGTATGCTATCCATGTTCAAACGTAGCTGAATAAACTGCCACGAAACACATGATAGCTTTAAACTGTCCTCATAAAAACGAATATCTTAAGAGTTATTATTGATGTGCTGTCGTTACTGATTCAATATAAAGGAAACTCCAGAATACAACCGATTGTTAGGTGGTGTATTTATCCGGCCTTGCCATGTTTATTTTTATTATGATTTGTAGATCCATGCGTGTCGATCATTTAACAGCCCCTTGGGAAGACTGTCTGTTAATAAAGTGGGCTCAAGAATTTGCATTGGGCGATTTTAATAGAATTCTGTATTGGTAAATATGTTTACAAGTACAGCTTATATCGGTAATAAATTACAAGGTAGGATGGTGTCGACAGCTTGTTATTTCCAATATCGATGTCCTTCAAGGTACTGAACTTATCACATATAAAAGTATACATACATCAAACACACATTATGTATTTTAAATACGAAAATCTATATATATGCAAAACAACATCGAAAAAAACCCAAATATATATATTGGCATACTAATTAGGCGGTAAGATAACGGGTCTTTTAAAGTTTTTTAATGCATGCTAGTTTGTCACCTGCTTTGCAGATGATTCGCGCTAGTGTGTACGGGGAAGTCACACATGTACAACAAACATTAACGTGGTAAAAAAAAATTACTGCAGTATGACAGAAGACTCTTTTGGTGCATAAGTGTTTTCTGGTTTTTTTTTCGAGCCTATCAAAGAATCTATCTACATGTGACATCACAGGAACATTACAGACTGAAAATAAACCTCTCATCTTCGTGTTATTTCAGATTGCCTATGCTGCAAGGCGCGGCCGCAGAATATATTGTACCACTGCTAGTTTTACAGGACGCCAAGCAAGACAAATGTGATGTTACTACGACAACTGGTGCGTTAAACAGATTTCTATGGAACATAACATATTTTAACCAAACTCATTTTACTTACAAAAAATACAATATATGATAAATACTTGTTGAAGCTTGATTAACCATTGTCTGTCCACCCCTTGGAAAATGGTCGGCAGGATAGTTTAGGGTTAATATGGTTGACTAGACGATTCAAGTGGTCGGGTTAATAGTTGATGTGGTCGGTTTGACGTTAGGGTGGTTGGGTAGCGGTAGAGGTGGTCGGCTGGACGGAAGAGGGGGTCGGCTGGACGGAAGAGGGGGTCGGATAGGCTGATAAGGTGATCGGTTGGACGGTAGGAGGGTCGGATGGACTGATAATGTGGTCGGTTGGACGGTATGGGTGGTCGGATAGACTGATAATGTGGTTGGTTGGACGGTAGAAGGGTCGGATGGACTGATACTGTGGTCGGTTGGACGGTAGGAGGGTCGGATGGACTGATGAGGTGGTCGGTTGGACGGTAGGGGTGGTCGGATGGACTGATAATGTGGTCGGTTGGACGGTATGGGTGGTCGGATAGACTGATAATGTGGTCGGTTGGACGGTAGAAGGGTCGGATGGACTGATACTGTGGTCGGTTGGACGGTAGGAGGGTCGGATGGATTGATGAGGTGATCGGTTGGACGGTAGGGTTGGTCGGATGGAATGATGAGGTGATCGGTTGGACGGTAGATGGGTCGGATGGACTGATGAGGTGATCGGTTGGACGGTAGGAGTGACGGATGGGCTGATAAGGTGAACGGTTGGACGGGAGGAGGGTCGGATGGACTGATGGGGTGAGCGGTTGGACGGTAGGGGGGGGCCGATGGGCTGATAATGTGGTCGGTTGGACGGTAGGATGGTCGGATGGACTGATAATGGGGTCGGTTGGACGGTAGGGGTGGTCGGCTGGACTGATAATGTGGTCGGTTGGACGGTAGGATGGTCGGATGGACTGATAATGGGGTCGGTTGGACGGTAGGGGTGGTCGGCTGGACTGATAATGTGGTCGGTTGGACGGTATGGGTGGGCGGATAGACTGATAATGTGGTCGGTTGGACGGTAGGAGGGGCGGATGGACTGATAAGGTGAACGGTTGGACGGGAGGAGGGTCGGATGGACTGATGGGGTGAGCGGTTGGACGGTAGGGGGGGGCCGATGGGCTGATAATGTGGTCGGTTGGACGGTAGAAGGGTCGGATGGACTGATACTGTGGTCGGTTGGACGGGAGGAGGGTCGGATGGACTGATGGGGTGAGCGGTTGGACGGTAGGGGGGGGCCGATGGGCTGATAATGTGGTCGGTTGGACGGTATGGGTGGACGGATAGACTGATAATGTGGTCGGTTGGACGGTATGGGTGGTCGGATAGACTGATAATGTGGTCGGTTGGACGGTATGGGTGGACGGATAGACTGATAATGTGGTCGGTTGGACGGTATGGGTGGACGGATAGACTGATAATGTGGTCGGTTGGACGGTAGGATGGTCGGATGGACTGATAATGGGGTCGGTTGGACGGTAGGGGTGGTCGGATGGTCTGATGAGGTGAACGGTTGGACGGTAGGAGGGTCGGGTGGACTAATGAGGTGATCGGTTGGACGGTAGGAGTGTCGGATGGACTGATAAGGTGAACGGTTAGACGGTAGGAGGGTCGGATGGACTGATTATGTGGTTGGTTGGGCGGTAGGGGTGGTCGGATGGACTGATGAGGGGATCGGTTGGACGGTAGGGGTGGTCGGATGGTCTGATGAGGTGAACGGTTGGACGGTAGGAGGGGCGGATGGACTGATGAGGTGGTCGGTTGGACGGTAGGGGTGGTCGGATGGGCTGATGAGGTGATCGGTTGGACGGTAGATGGGTCGGATGGACTGATGAGGAGATCGGTTGGACGGTAGGAGGGTCGGATGGGCTGATAATGTGGTCGGTTGGACGGTAGAAGGGTCGGATGGACTGATACTGTGGTCGGTTGGTCGGTAGGAGGGTCGGATGGACTGATGAGGAGATCGGTTGGACGGTAGGAGGGTCGGATGTACTGATAAGGTGAACGGTTGGACGGTAGGAGGGTCGGATGGGCTGATGAGGTGATCGGTTGGACGGTAGGGGGGTCGGATGGACTGATAAGGTGAACGGTTAGACGGTAGGAGGGTCGGATGGACTGATGATGTGATCGGTTGGACGGTAGGAGGGTCGGGTGGACTAATGAGGTGATCGGTTGGACGGTAGGGGTGGTCGGATGGAATGATGAGGGGATCGGTTGGACGGTAGATGGGTCGGATGGACTGATGTGGTGATCGGTTGGACGGTAGGAGGGTCGGGTGGACTAATGAGGTGATCGGTTGGACGGTAGGAGTGTCGGATGGACTGATAAGGTGAACGGTTAGACGGTAGGAGGGTCGGATGGACTGATATGGTGAACGGTTGGACGGTAGGAGGGTCGGGTGGACTAATGAGGTGATCGGTTGGACGGTAGGAGTGTCGGATGGACTGATAAGGTGAACGGCTGGACGGTAGGAGGGTCGGATGGACTGATGATGTGATCGGTTGGACGGTAGGAGGGTCGGATGGACTGATGAGGTGGTCGGTTGAATGTTTGAAGTTATTGGATGGTATTATGAGACAGTCAGATGGACGGTTGAAGGTACAGACAATAGAAGTGGTTAACTGGACGATTGGGTTGAAGTGTTAAGTTGAACGGTAGAAGTGGTTGGTTTGACGGTTTAAGATAATGGTTGAAGAGGACGGGTAGACAGTTGAAGTGGTTTGATGGACGGGTGAAATGGTCAGGTTGACGGTTTAACTGGTTGAGTGGACAGTTGAAGTGGTAGACGATTGAAGTTGTCAATTGGTAAATTGAAGGTATCTATGGAAGGTCAAATTGATTGGGTTTACGAATTAAGTATTCAGTTAAACGGTTACGTGATTATTGTCTATTTACAACAATACAAGCTTATTTCTGTTTCTTTTTCTTTTTGCCTCTCTACGTAGTTTTTATAATAACTGTTTTACAATTTCTGTTATTTCTTGTTTTCCTCTAGACACTCCGCTGATAAATAGTACCGGTGCGTACGTAGACGTGGCAAGTCGATTGTTTAGTTCCAATGATTCGACGGACACCTTAATGTCCAACATCACAACATTGGCTGACGGAGTAATTCCTCGCGACTATCAGGCTGCTGACTATGATAAACTGCAGGGGGTCAGTGTCAATCTCGTCAAAAGTACACTCTTATTCTTTTGTGATGTTACAGCAAATTTCACTTGTCAAACAGAAAAAACCCAGGACATCAGTAAAACTGAATGAGGTAAACCGATTAACCACCGTTAGGAAACCACATCGATAGAAATCACATCTTGAAACATACATTGAAAACAGTAAAACAGTATGCGTTAACTGATACTCCATACCGAGATATGTAGTCAAATGTTAAGTTTGAAATGTCATCGTGTTTGGTTCAAAACTTACGGAACTACTTTTACGGGGATATGAATTTCCCCAATAAAAATGACCTCACCATCACCTTCAATATCCAATTTACAGTTGTTTGCTTTGATCGTTTTTTGCAACTGTTTATCAAGTTTAAAGCTGAAGCAAATATCTCATTCACTGTCTTCTATCCATATCGACAGCAAAACTCAGTTTCTAACAGTTAAATCACCAATATACCTCCACAAGTACGCAAATATGGGATGTTTCTTGACTGTTGAGCGTTCGCCCAGGTGAGGAAGGCAATGGGTTCTGTCCCCAGGCCGGGAATACCAAAGTCCTTAAAACTGGTAGTTGTTATTCCCTGGTTAACGTTCAGCATTAAGGGAAATGACAACAATTGGTTCACCCGTTGTCAGTATAATGTGACCGGGCGGAATGCTGTGCTTCGGCATAGCATTTCAGTGGGATAGCACTATAAAGTCGGCATAAGATCCGCGCTTTCACAAAGAGGCAACCACACCAACAAACCCTGTCTCATGCATACACACACGCAAGCACGCATACACTATTAATACGACGTTAAACAATATTAAACCAAACCAAACCAAATCCCTGAATCAGCAGGCGTTTATTGGCATACATTTAAGTCAATACTTCCTGATTTTGTTAATATCATACTTACCGAGTTAGCCTTTTATACTGTTTATTTTCCAATAGGCTAAAATAAAATAAAAAATGTTGAATAGTATTGCACTTCTAAAAATATTAAATATTTAATGATTTTAATGCGTAACGGTTGGAGGCCGAGAAACTATGGCCACTGTTTAAAAAATATTGGCTAATGAAATTCAAACATGACTACTTTTTGGCTACTGATTTTTTAGGTCCAGGGTGAGTCATTTGCGTATAACTTTCTATGGTTACAGATGATGGGAAGTCTCATGATCGCTGGAACAGTCCACTTTCTGATGGGTGCGACAGGACTAGTGGGCATCTTGCTCAGGTTCGTCGGTCCCATCACTGTCGTACCCACCCTCCTTTTGGTCGGCTTCCGGATGGCATTGATGGTCGCCGACTTAATTTCTGTGCACTGGGGAATAGGTATCATGTAAGTTACGCACGTTCTGGTACACATGTTTCTGCTGTGAAAAATATTAGTATAATTATATCTGAAAACGTGTCTAAAATGTTTATATCTATAATTTAGTGTTACTTTAAATGTTGTCCAAAGCAAATGTATTGTCAGTAATTTCAAACCCAATGTTGAAAACAATACCGTAGTTCTCCTAATTGTTTTGTCAGAAATACATAATACCGTAGATCACTTGTACGGCATTTTCGAACATAAAGACAAAACAATATCTTTTTATTAAAAATTGAAAATTATTTAACATATAAATGGATCAATAAGGACAGTCACCATTGTTTTTATCTGTGCTTAAACACTATCAGCGAAAATGCGCAGCCGAATGGTTTGATATATATTAAAGTGTCACAAAAACGTTCCATAGATACCAGTGTGTCTTGATAAATAATAACTGATTTCTGTGTTCTCTCATTTCTTAAAATATATTTCAACTTAGTACAATCTCGTAAATGCTAATTGTTTATCTTGTTTAAATTCGTTCCGGTAGATCACGTGAACCAAGTCTGGTAATTTGATAAAAACAATGTAAACTTTTCTTCAAATAACTTTTTGTAGTCTGATGACTGATGACCGAGTTTTGTGTGTTCCCGTTCCTTTAAATATTTCAAGTTTGTGTAACCTGTATATTGTTATCGCATATAGCTTTATTTTTGTCAAATTAACGCACCTGTTATTTAGTAGGTTTAATAAATTTGTGTTGGCTTATAAAATAATTATTCTTAATTCTTTAGTATTAACAAACAATAATTTGTGTCTGATAAAAGATGCAAACATTTTAAATTAGAAGGAACTAAATGGACAATCACTTTGTATATGTTACATACGCTCAAATTAATGCATTATATTGGCAATAATAGGTTGTAACTTGAAACAAACGTGCTTAACCTTAATACAGAGTCGAGTCTTAGTTTTACTGACTTAAAACGCGATTTTCGTTCATGATTGTTAACAAACTATGGCATTTATGGTGAAAATCGTTTTAAATTGAAAATTAGTTGTAAACTCATTTAATCATAGTTATGATATATCAGTAAAAATGTTGATTTTAGTTTTAAATATGTCTTGAGGATTCCATTAAAATGTATTCCAACTTACGTGGTCCTTTCCCATAATTTGCTGTACATCATTGTAGAAAACATGTTGACGAACATTTTAAGCAATTATTTATATTAGATGTTGACTGTGATTACCTTTACTATTAAGACGTTTAATTCTCACAGGTCATTCAACTTGCTGCTTCTGAGTGATGACCTTTAACCCAAAGATTTAATTTCTTGTGATTGTTTTCATGAGTTTTATGTAAATTAGGCACGCTCCCGATGAAGGCTAGTCCTATGAAGAGGCGGTAGGTATTTGAAATGACAATGTTTAGATGTTAAAGTATATTCTTATTATTTTGCATACAAGAACTGTTCACGTTTCATCTTTATCCACTATTTTGTACTTAATTGAAACAAACAATCAATTGTGTTTAAGAAAATAACTGATGATTGTACAGATAAAGTTTATAAACTATAATACCTCTAAGTCAAAGTTCTAATAAATACCTTTTAGAATGTTTATTTTTTATTAATTACTTTCTATATATTTGACCATCATGTTTACAACTTAAATATTGTATGTCCAAGGAGAACAACTAACATTTACGAATTATATCTTAGGAGAGTAATATTGACATGCTACCATGGCGTGGTGTTAAAACAATACCCTTTGTTTCAGGACAGCTGCTAGTGCCGTTATCCTGTCGTTGTATCTGGGAAGATGGAAGATGCCGCTACCCTTTTGGTCAAGATCTAAAGGTTTCCATATAATACGTTCTACTTTACATCAAACAGCAGGGGTAAGATGCATGCGTTATTCATCATCAAAAAATTTGTAGGGAAATACAAAATAAATTCAATTAGAGTAAACATTTTTACTGCACCGTATGGCCATTTCTTCTTTTAATGTTTTTGCGAACGAAAATGTTGTTCAAATGTTCCTATTTTTCTTTTATTTGTTTCGATTATAATTCATAAATAATTTTTCGTCAACAGTCATCAACATTATAGAATTTGGCATCACAAATTGTCCACTCATTGACGGTTATATATCTTTAAATTGGCTATCAATAAAAAATAAGAATTTAAATGCTAAATTTAGATTTTGATAATTTGACATTTAGTACCATTAATGAATCCTGGATGGATGAGAACGACATACGGTGCACTAAAATGATTATTTTGATTTGCTTTTTATATGTAACGAACTATTTTTAAATAGGTAGTTCATCCCACCATATTTCTGGTGATGATTAAACCAGTAAGGTGTCTGCCGCTGGAATGTCAGTCCTTTTAGCAGGACCCTTTTCTGACAAATATGACATATTTATTGAAGAAAAGATATCTGTTCAAGCCAATCGTTGTGCATTTGTAGTATTAAATATGGTTTTCTTGGCACCTAACATTTTTTGTTGTACTCTTCATCCGTTTCAGAACATTTCTGGCGTGGATTTTACAGGATGTTGACATGTAGTACCACTGTAAAATATTAACTTGCTTTCAGCAAACATAATTTTAAATAAGTCCTTTATTTCTTTGTATTTCTAGCGATTATTCTGGTAGGTTGTAAGACAATTAATTTTGACTTCTCTCTTGAAAAGAGTAGCAAATGTGATGCGTTCATCTATTTAAACTATAGGTAAATATTAACATGAATGATCCAGCCTCGTTTATCCAGCAATCTGGTTGTTCGACTATTCAGACACCAGTAAAAAGCCGGTTGTTTATTCCAAGTGTTCCACCATCCAGCAAAGTGATGAAGAGGACAGAAAGACATTTTAAAGATTATTGTCCCAAAAATCTAGTTGTCTCAAAATCCTGCTACCAACGTTCCCCATCGGTGCTGATTGGTTCTCATTTGTATTTAGCTCAGGTTAACTGTCTACCTGTAAAAAGGCACGAGTTAGATTTACCGAGTGACTTTTACAATCAACTGTCATGGGATCTTTGTCAATCAGAACGTTTATGTTATATCTAGAAAACTTAAATATGTTTCTATTGAAAGTATATGATTCCTGTTTCCGATTGTTGATTTGACGTCACAATGGAAGATGAAGGCAAAACGCATTGCAACGTCATAATTATAAGAATGACAAATGAAACAACGTTTAGGGTGTTAAAAACTAGTGGGTAGCTAAGCCAAAAGAGTTACCAACTTTCCTAGCAGTTTTTTCCCATAAGTCGGAAATGAGGAGACATACACTTGTTATGGGAGAAGTTGATTTCACCAAATGTATTTATAGTTCCCATTTCCGTCAAAATATTTCATTGATAACTAAATTAGTATGTTTAGTTGTGGTAATCCGTTATAACTTTTTAATAATCAGATTCTGATTGCCCTATTATCTGGCTGGGCGCTGTGTGGCATACTTACGCAATATGGCGCCTTCTCCGACGATCCGAAGGCGCCCGACTACTACGCTAGGACGGATTTTATGCCAGGTGTAATACAGAATGCCAGATGGGTTTACCTCCCTTACCCAGGTAAGTTTCCCATCTATAACGTGTATTTCCTTACCAAAAACTGAGTAAATTGACAATAGGCGACGTAACATTTGAACTTAGGTTTGTATTAGCTTTTCAGTCGTGAGGTGAATAGCTGGCTAGTACAGAAAAAAAGGTTGGCGCAAAAGTTAATGTTTTCTTGTCTATTTTTGTGTAACGTATTTCTGTTTCAACAATTTCAACATACATCCGTTTATATCTTTCGGTGTACAATTCGTACTCCCATATCCCAATTTTTATTTTGGTTTTAGCTTTTAAGATGATGGACTGATTAACCAACAGCTGTTAAAATCATTCACTAACATGCAGTTGACGTTTTGGCGTTCCTGATTACTTACAGCAATCTTAACACATTTGTTATTTAGTTTATAAACAATATCATTCCTATTATTTAGGACAGTTTGGTATGCCGTCATTTAGCGCAAGGGCAATGATCGGGTTCCTAATTGCAACGTTGCTTTCCATCCTGGACTCAATCGGCGATTACTACGCATGCGCAATGGCTTGTAACGTACCGCCCCCTCCTGCCCACGCGGTAAATAGAGGAATCGCTGTGGAAGGGTTATGTTCTTTTCTCTCCGGGACACTGGGGTGTGGACATGCGACGGGTACATACGGAGGGAATATCGGGGCCATACGCATCACAAAGGTAAACGTTTTGAACAGCATGTCTGAAAGAGGTGTATGGCGGAAATACTAGAACGTTTGGTTTAATAAAGAGAAATAAATTGCAGGGAGATATATCAAAGCAGAAAACTAATGATATATTTATGTATAAAGTATCCGGTATACAGTTTACTTAATGTTATATTGTATCTTAAAACTTATTTACATAAGATGCCAGTAAAATGATACAAGGATATCATATGTTGCAACTGAAAGTTGTAAATGTGTAATGCCACAATGGGTTTGTATAGAAACCTTCATCTTGCTCCCTATTCCTTCACTATTTATAAACTTTATTGATTTTACAACTATGATGAAACAAGTCATTTCAACTTATATTAATCACTCTTGTTGGCCCGGATGTTAGCGCGTGGAGAGTCTAAATGTGGGAGGAAACCGGAGTACCCGGAGAAAACCTGCGAGATCGGACAGGTGACACCATACCTTTTCATGTACGATCGGGGAATCGAACCGCGGTAGCCTTGGTGAAAGACAAGTGTCCACTGCATCACCCGACCACCCATTCCTTCACGTGAACCTCTCGTCATTGACATTTTATGAATGACTTTTCGTCATTTGACAACTACTAGCAAAGGAATTATGTGTCACAAAGTGTCCACTCATTGACAGTACTTTTAAAAAACCATTTTCATTGAAGTTAGAATATCAATGCTCAATACTGCTTTTTATTTATTCTTTTGACCTTTAAGTCCACCCATGAGTCCTGAAAGGACCTAATGACCATATGGTACAGTAAAATGTTAACTTTATTTGGTTACCTGGATAGGCACACAAATGTTTTTAAATAGGTGCTTCGTATTTCTAGTAATTATTTTAAATCACAAGGTGGTTGACTTTGCTAGTGGACTATCAGTTCCCGGGGTTGGCCTCGGCCTTGTAGCCTGACTTAATTCTGACAGGGTATACATACTGTGCATTCTGACAGGGTACATTCTGACACATTCTGACAGGGTATACATTCTGACACATTCTGACAGGGTATACATTCTGACAGGTATACATTCTGACAGGGTACATTNTACATTCTGACACATTCTGACAGGGTATACATTCTGACAGGGTATACAATCTGACAGGGTTTACAATCTGACAGGGTATACATTCTGACACATTCTGACAGGGTACATTCTGACACATTCTGACAGGGTATACATTCTGACAGGGTATACATTCTGACAGACAGGGTATACATTCTGACACATTCTGACAGGGTATACATTCTGACAATTCTGACAGGGTATATATTCTGACAGGGTTTACAATCTGACAGGGTATACATTCTGACAGGGTATAAATTCTGACAGGGCATACATTCTGACAGGGTTTACAATCTGACACTTTCTGACAGGGTATACATTCTGACGCATTCTGACAGGGTATACATTCTGACAGGGTATACACTCTGCCACATTCTGACAGGGTACATTCTGACATATTCTGACAGGGTATACATTCTGTACATTCTGACAGTGTATAAATTCTGACAGGGTATACATTCTGACAGGGTATAAACTCTGACACATTCTGACAGGGTACATTCTGACAGATTTTGACAGGGTATACATTCTGTACATTCTGACAGTGTATAAATTCTGACAGGGTATCCATTCTGACAGGGTATACATTCTGACAGGATATACACTCTGACACATTCTGACAGGGTATACATTCTGACAGGGTATACACTCTGACACATTCTGACAGGGTACATTCTGACATATTTTGACAGGGTATACATTCTGTACATTCTGACAGTGTATAAATTCTG